CCGGGCCTTTTCGCCAGCCCCGTGGCCGTCAGCAAGATAACAGGTCAGCGGCCGTAAGGACCTTTGGCCCCACTGCTGACTGTCCCGTGGGCCCGTTCCAGGCACCAACAGCTCTTGTAGTTCCCCCGAGTTAAGCAACAAAGCCTATTGTAAGGGGGGGCGGGCAGGGCGCTAACCCTTTCTCTGCCAGTCACTTTCACTTTTAAGTCCAGTTCCTTTTTTCTTTTCCTGTTCATTATGGATTTAGTAATGCATACATACTTCCTACTTCAGGAAAATAAATCCCACAGAACCTCAAATCCGCTATCAACTAATACAACGCCGAAAAGCAAATGCAGCTAACGTGCGCTATAACCCACCCCAGCACCATGCGCCAACAGGCAGGCGGTGTTGCGCTGAGGGGAGACTCCTTACAGCAGCTGGAGAGGCCTCGGCAGCCCCCCCAGGCCGTCCCAGGACCAGCCCGCCAGGAGGCCACAAGCAAGCCCTCACGCTGAAGCTCTCTTCCCTGCCCGGCGCGTCCACACCGATACCCTCGCGTAAGATGAAACCCGAAAGCTTTACGCGTCCATCTGTGTAAGCTCAACTGCACGAAGGCGGCCTCGGTCCCATCGCTGCTGCCGCTGCCTCCTGCCCAGGCCCCAGCACCTTTTGGTGCTGCTGCAGCCAACGCCGAGCCCCTCGGGCCACCCCTCTGAGCCCCCCTCCCCGTGCCTCCCAGCCCGCCTGAAAGGCTCAGACAAAAAGAGCCGGCCTCTTGCGCAGGGACGTGGCTGGCACAGGCCTGAAGGGGAGCCAAGCTCTCCCTGGCCCCCGCCCCCACCCCGTCCAAACACGATTGGGACTCCACAGACCGGACGGGTGATTTAAGGAGCCGAGCGCTCAGCCGCGGGCCGGCTGCCTGGCATGCCCAGAGCCACCTTAAATGACACTGGCCGCCTTCTGGTTGGTGTCCAATGGGGACCTCCTGACTCCCCTTGAAAGAGGCAAGCAGTGGGGTGCAAATGTGGTAGCCGAAGGTCCCATCTTTGGCCAAACGGAGACGCCTCTTGGCTCAGGATACGTCCGTTTCTCCGGAATTTTTCTCCCGTTTCACCTGCTTTTTCCTTTTCTGACATTCCAAGATGTTGCTTGTTCTCACGCTTTGGCAAGCTCTTTCCCAAGCTCTGGCTGCAAGTGGGGGTAAGTGGTGTTTTTCTTCTTTTTCTTCCGAGCCCTTTGTTTCTTCACAGGGCATTCTGCCTTTCTCCAAAGGGAACCCGCTGCAATTAGGCAGCTCTTGGGGCTTTCTCTGGAAGCTCCGATGGACACAACAATGCAGCTGCCACTGGTAACCGCTGCGTGCTGCTGAGGCATTTTAATTTTAAAAATCACTTTTGTTTGTTTCTCTGAAAGCAAGTGAGGCCGTTCGCAGACTAACCGTGTTTGGATGGAGCACTAGCAAAGTTTGCAAACATCTCCGCTCTTTCTGCTCTCTTTGCAAAGGAAGTGTTCGAAGAACACCACTTCTTTCTTTTCGGCCTGTTCGGGCCTCCAACTCGCAAAAGCTGCAGTGGGTAGTCTTGCATCCTGGCACTCATGGTTGCTTCTAGAATTATCTATCGATCTTTCACTTCTGGGTGAGAAACAGCAGCTCAGCTGCATTGTAAGGAAGAGAGAGGGTGAAAATATTCTGACAGGAATACTACACATATAAAACAGGAGAGTAACAATCTTGGGAAAATACTTACAGAAAAGCTGCCTGAGGAGAGCAAGCACAGGCTTTTGAAGTTTGCCAGATTTAATCGGTCTTAGAAAAAAATAACATTAATTTTGAAAGAAAACGTTTCTGAACTGATCAGCCCAAGAGAAGGGGAAAGAGTGACAGATACTTGCAAGGAAAACAGAGTATTAAGAAAGGAATGTAATTTTAGAGAATACAAGCATTTGCGGTAGAGAAAATTGTTTAGATAGGAACATTTCAGGTGGGGAATTAGCTTAAGTCTGTCCTGGGGGCTCTAAAGGCTAACCAATTTATGCCAAAAGCTTCTCCTCATCAGATGCATCAATTATCCTCAACTCTCTTTTGCTCTGTGGCACAGTCTGCTTTACGTGGGTCGTTGCGTAAGCCACTGCAATCTGGGCTGGCAACCCCTAAACCATATCCGTGGTTACAAACACAACCTCCCTTCTGGCAGGGCCAACCAGAGCTCAAGAGGAGTTGATGGCAATGAAATGGATGCCTGAAACCTGTCTGTGCCTCATTTTGATACAGGTGGGAAAAGAGCAGAGTGCCGGATAGGAGGGGGAGAAAACCATGGTCTCAAGTCAGGTCTAAATAAGGGAATCGGCACTTCTGCCTGGGGCATCCAGGAAAGGGAGGCTGTTTGCTGGACTAGATCACCGAGTCCCCTGAGAGAAAGAACGGCACCTGGGAGACCTCAGCTGTGGGACTCCTTTCAGAGCTCAGGGAAGGCGGCCGAACAAACGCTGCTCTTTCCCTCTGCTCCGCTTGTGCTCTTCGCAGCACCAGCCAGAATAAATTTAGCAGCAGCTCACGAGCCTTCGGGAGGTGACATCTCTGCCCACGGCCAGCTGCCCTTTTTTGGGGTGGAAGAATTCGGCCCCTTTTCTCTAGTCCGTCAACTCAGGTTTCATTCAATGCGTTCGTGAGACTTTTCAGATGGAGGCTTTCAGAAGAGAGGAGGACGTTTAAGGCTGTCACACAGAAAAACAGCCTACTTATTTCAAAGGTATAATTGGAGACCAGCCTTGAGCCCCAGTTGGCAGTGCTCCCTTGGGTCCCTGGAGATCAGGGGACCTTTTTCCAAAGCTCCTTTCTGAAACAAAGGGCAGAATTTCAGCAAGGGGGAGAGCGCAGAGCAGAAAAACGCACCCTAATCATGCCATGGTCAGGGATGGCCAGGGACGGTGCCCGTCCACTTGAAGAATGGGGCTTCCACCGACAGAGCCCTTCCACCTCTTGTCAGGCACGGGGCACAAAAGCTGGAAGAGCAATTGCGCTCACATCCCTTATTGACGCAAGGTGGAAACAGGTGTGGGATTCAGAGGGGCTTTTCTCCAGGTGTGAGGGATTCAGCCCTGCCTGGCAGCTCATGGGGTTCCTTTGCCCCGGGCTCCTCCTGCCAGGACGGAAATGCCCCTGTGCCCAGAGCGAGGCTGCTCTTTTCGCGGGAGGCATTTCAGCTGTCAGCCAAGTCTCTCTTCCTCTCCTTTTCTGCTGCAGGTTCCCACTGGACATACGAAGGTAAGGAGAAACATCTTCCAAGCAATATGCTCCTTTGGTCATCGGAATCGCAAATGCAACCGCGAAGTAGGGAGGGACCGCCCAAGCTTGTCTCCTCGCTGGCTTCCTGTGGGGGAACCCCAAAGGCTCCCACAGTCCAGGTGCTCCGGAAAGGCACTTTGGGGGTCTCCAGCTGGAAAGAAATGGTTTGGAACATGCACTTCCAGGAGAGCGTGGCAGTTGCGTAGTGCAAAACATTTTGTGAGAGGAGGAAGCCTGTTCCAAGATAATTTCAGGAGTAGGGCCAGAACTCGTCTCTGTTCATTCTGCACCCTACATCCATAGGCCTTTGCTCTTTTCCCAGGCTCTTACGGGCAGGCACACTGGCCGGAGAAATATCCGGACTGCGGCAGGCAGGCTCAGTCGCCCCTCGATATCCAGACAGACTTGGTCCGGTATGACCCCTCCCTGCCTCCCGTTGAGCCAGAGGGATACCGAAACCCTGGGAGCGGCTCATTGACCCTGACCAATAATGGGCACACAGGTGAGAGCGTTCGCAGGACCTGGCTGATTCTTTATGTTCTGTTACTGCGCAAAGGTCTGCTCGAGAAGGCAATGCTTTCTCTCTCTTCCCTACCTCGAGAAGTAGTAACTCTAGAAAGAGCTTTATGGGAAGGTCCAGAGCGCCCTACCACATCTCCACTTGGTGAGAGTCTTCATCCTCCCCACTGGCTGCAAGCTAAGGTTTCTTGCGGTCTGTCTCCGCAGTGCAGCTCTCCCTCCCCGAGGACCTGCGCTTGCACGGCCTGCCCAGCATCTACTCAGCGGCGCAGCTGCATTTTCACTGGGGCAGCAGCAAGGACCGTGCTGGAGGGTCTGAGCACCGCGTGGATGGCCTGGCCTTCCCAGCAGAGGTAAGCCAGCCGGGGCTTTGGGCCCGCCTTGGAACAGGGCCGGCACTTATTTACACGCCATCCTTGCTGGGACACAAACTGGCTGAATTGGTCCAAAGGTCCACCTCCTTTGAAGCCCCGTTACCAAGCACGGTTGAGAAAAAAACCCCAGGGAAGGCCCAGTGCTACTGGAGATATCCAGGGACCACAACACCAGAATTCTTCTCAAGGCTGGCTAGGAATTCTGGGGACGGTGGACTCTCACATCCGGAGAGCCCGGTTTGAGGACCCCTCCTCTGTCACTCCTCCTCAGTATCGAATTCTTCCTTTGTGAGGGAGCCACTCTTCTGTGTTCATCTTTCACGGATTGGTCCAGCCCAAATGACATGGGATTCTGGCACCTGTGGCTCCTGCTGGGACTCACTCTGAGCAGCAGCATCCATGAAACTCAGCTCTCCATTTCGTCCCCTCCTCCGTCGCTGGCATGTTCTGATTTAGCTGCTCTTTCCACTGTAACACACGGAGCAGCTCTCTTCTCAGAAGGGCTTTGCCCTGACCATTCCTCTGGTCAAGGCTGTGAGGAATGACTAAGAAGGAAGGGCAGCCCGAGAGACACATGGGAGGGAAGGAGCTGTTTTTCATAGGAAAAGCCACGGCGGTTCAGGCACATAACAGAGGTGAATACCCGCAGGAAGAAATGTCTTCACGGGTCTCACACATCTTAGGCAACCACACATCCGGAGGGTCAGGGAAGGCTGCTTTGGGGACAAGGAATGGTGCTTCTCCTGGGACCCCTCTTCCAGCTCTAGCCCTGACCCCTTCTCTGTGCAGCCTTCCATCCTTCTCATGGAGACAGGCAACTTCACAACGTTTGGATAAAGTCATGAAGCTCCTTGCAAACATCTTCTCCCTCCCTGCCCTTTAACTCTGTCTTCACCTTCAGCTTCACGTGGTCCATTTCAACTCAGAGAAGTATGCCAACCTGAGCGTGGCCAAACACCAACCGGATGGGCTGGCAGTGCTGGGCATTTTCCTGGAGGTGAGCTTCTGTTTGTGAAGACTGTGCTGTGGTCACTGTCCAGAAGAGCTAAACATTTCCTTGGTTCCTCCGCCCTCCACACCACCTTTCTAGGCCACTTTAGGGTGCTTCCCTCCTCGCCTCCTCCAGCCCTTCCTTAGACAGCCATATGCCAATCCTACTGACTGCTGAAAAATACACACCAGATGTTTTAACTGCCCTCCAGCGCTTCTGATAGGGAATGCCCAGGGGAGCACTCCTTACAGCCTAGGTCATTTAAGCTACAGCCTCACCTGCGAACAGAAGAGGACGCAACCACCACTGGAATTCAAGGCACACTAGGGCTGACAACTTCAACGGAATGCATTTCGGGTAAAGCACTACAAAAACCACGTGCAAAGTTCAGTGTTCTAAAGGGGGTGTGAGTGAGTCCTGCTGAGTCTTGTTTAGCCAAGGTCATCAGTTTCCCATCTAAAGCAGTTTCAGCCATAAATAGCTCTACCTATTTTTCGTTGCTACTCAATTTGCCTGAAACCCTCTTGGGCCTCGAAAATTCCTCTGTGGTGGTGCCACTGAACCTTTAGTAAAAATTGCCTTCTTGGTAGACCTTTCACCTTCACTGCCAACCAAACAGAACTGAAAGTGTGTGAGACGCAGTTTATTTATTCCCATCCTCCCGTCTCTTGATTCCTTTTTCTGTTTTCTCACTTCTCTTTTAAAACTTCCCCTCTGCCCCACGTGAAACAAATTGTTCAGCTATGGGCACTATGCATTTGGGGGGACACCAAAGTAAGCAAACACCAGTAAACACAAGTAATTTCTTCACTGCATCTGGCAGGTTGACAGCGTGGAGAATCCTGCCTACAATCACATCTTGGACCATCTGGACCGCATCACATATGCAGGTAGAGGGTCCGTTCAGGATAGGGAGAGGCTGCAGGGGCCGGCAGGGGGTGAAAAGCACGAGGGAGGGAGTGGAATTTGCTGACAGAGTCCTTGGTATCTAAGCGCTTTCTTCCATGAGTCATTTAGGCTTCTGCGAAGGATCAAAATGCATCACATTCCCTAGGCACTTTGCAGTCTACTTCTTAAAACACACATCAATTTTAAAATAACAGTGAAAACCAAAAAAACAGTCAGGACCTTAATTTCTGGGGAAAAAATGCTGGAAAACATTTTAAATTCCCACAGCAGTGATTCTCAGTAGTGAGATCTTTCTGCCAGTTCAACATCTCGGAAGCAAGCACCTTAAAGCCCATCGGCCGGGGAGCTGCTCTGGGGAGGGCCATTGCGCCTCCTGCCCCTCTTTCTCGGAGGTGGGAGGCTGAGCGGCCTGATGTAGCCTTGAGGCTCTGTCCTTCCCAGGCCCAAGGTTGACAAAGGGACACAACGAGGGGGAGGTCCCGGAAGCCAACCCTGGATTTTCTCTCCCTCTGCACATCTTCTGCCTTCCGGCTGTCATCCTGCTTCTCTCTCTTTGCTTTCCCACCTCCTAAACTCACCAGAGCAAGAAGTCGCAGTTGCACCCTTCAGTGTACGAGAGCTGCTCCCAGCGCATCTGGGTCACTACTACCGCTACAATGGCTCCCTGACAACCCCGCCTTGCTATCAGAGCGTGCTGTGGACCGTCTTCCGCCAGCCAGCCCGCATCTCTGCCGCTCAGGTATAACCTGAAAAATGAAGGCCATCATTACGTTAAGAGGTGTAGGACAAAAGCTCTCTGTGTTTGGGGGGAGGGGTAGCCCTGTGGCCCCTGGACTGCTGTTGGAGGATGGCTCCCATCAGCCCCTACCAATGGGGTGAAAGCGCAGAGATAGTGGTAACATCCAGTGGCCGAGGAGGGCTGCAGACTCCTCCAGAGGAAAGTGAAATGGCTATTGGCTGCAATAGCATGCTTGACTCACCTCTCTTCCAGCTGGAGAAGCTGCAGAAGTCACTTTATTCTACAAAGGATGGGAAGACACCCTCAGAACTGCTGGTCGGTAACTTCCGGGTGCCACAGTTCCTGAACCAGCGTGTGGTCTTCTCCTCGTTCCCTGTGGGTGAGTAGAGGCTGTTTAGTTCTGAAAGCCTGCTTGCGTGTACATGCGTGCACGTGAGGCGATAGGGGACACTGCCCTCTGGTGGGCAAGCATTCCCCAGCACCAAATCCAGGTTGGTGCTCCTTAAAGATCATGCAGGAAAAAAGAGGGCAGGGGCAGGAAGAAGAGGTGCAAACCTGCCCCTAGACTTCGTTTCTCTTCTCTCCCTTCTAGGGCCATCTGGATATTCTGCAGGTGTGACTCACCTCCTGTTTGCTGTTCAAAGGGGCCAGGCAGCCAAGCTGCAGTGATGGTGGAGGAAAGGAACGTGCACACCCAGCACAAGGCCTGGGGGAATGGAGAGATGCGGGAGCCCTGCCCCGGGGCCAGAGGAGGACTGGCTAGGGGGCCACAGGGGGAGGGAGCGGATGAGGGGCTTCTGTCATTTGGAACTTCCAATAATTGTGTAAAGAAAATGGAAATGAGTCAGCAGAGCCGGACAGACATTCTAGGGGTTTTTTGTTTTTTACCAACGAGCTTCCTGGCTGACAACTCAGTTTGTTCACTGTACTACTCCTCAGAGAGGAAGTGCATTCCTTCCATTTCTAAATTTAGGATGTATCCATCTCCCCCACCCCATCACTTCTATAATTGCTCTGACATCCTTCGCTCTTTTCTCTTTCTAGGTGAAATCATTGCCATAATTATTGTGGTGCTCTTGGGCTGCCTCGGTGTCTTCCTTGCTGGCTGGATTTTGGCAAAGAGAACGCGGTGAGGAGCAGGTGGACGTGGGAGGCCAACCCGTTTCCTGCCTAATCGCACTGCAGTGCCAAAATGAGGGAAGCTCCCACACATTTTGTCCAGGAGGGGCAAGGAATTCGAATGATCTTCCCCCCCCCCCGCCCCGCAATGCTGCTATATGGGTTGGTGAGAATGTAAAAACCTAGGAAAATTTCACTGGAAAAAGACCACAATAGATACTATTAAACTTTCTCCTGCCCAAATTGAGCTTTGTGTTTTCCTAATCTATTGAACAGTGGCAGGAGCAAAAGGCCACTGCATTCCCATCCTTTAACCTCAGACTTTCTCCTTACTACCCTGCCATCTTCAACCTTTTTTCTCTGTTCTTTGCTGAAGCCACCATTATTTGGGCTTTTGGGGGGACCAGCAAGATTGTCTCAAGAAGCCCAACAAACATCAACTTCCCTCTTGTGCCACACTGCCCAACCGATTCTCCTCCTCAGTATGATAAGGAAGAAGCAGTCGGGCACGTGGGTAGGAGAGATTCGGATCCCGGTGCCCATCAACGTGGCAGAGGAAGAACTGCTTGGGTTTATGAAATCAGACATCCCACTCCCTGCTTCCATTTTAGGAAACTGGCACACAGGAGGAAGGCGGGATGATGAGGGAATAGCACCAAAGAAGAGAGAGCTGCTCTGGGCTACAGATGCCCCACTGAAGGAGCAACCAAGCTGCAGAACACCCCACAAAGCTTGGGACTTCAGAGTAAAAAAGGGTCAGGTCCATCCGTCTGTCTCATCTGGGGAGGCTAAGCTGGCCTATGTCTCGATTGCTAACGCTACAATAGCCCAGGGGACCTGAAAGGATATCCACGCCTGTTCTCTGGTGCCCCAGCAGGACACTGAATAACAGAGGGCAGATTCCAGTGAAAGGACAAAAGTAACTGGACAGTAAAACTGACCACCGGGGTTGCTTTAATTCAGATTCCTGTGCTAAGCAGGACAAGGGTACCAAGAGAAGCGAGTATGTGTAGCTCAGGGTTGAACGGTGGAGTCCTTGGGGCTCTCTGAGCAAACAACCCAGAAAACAACCAAGCCCTGAGAACCCCAAGGACTCCACAGGACAAGGGTCTCCACGGCCCCTTTCAACGCCTCCAACTTTAGGACTTTTACACAGGGGAGTACCTCATCCAGGGCATCTGCCGGGCATCACCCCACCACTTCAGAAATCAAATTCCTTTTGGCCACAGCTGCACACTGGCTTTCCTTTTTAGGAAAGAGGCAGTGAGATGGGAAAGCAGGGCCACATGGAAGAGGGAGGCCCGAGCAGGTTTATTCACTGCGTGCTGCTCAATATCTGCATTCAGGGGCTGCAGTTACGGGGTGAGGCTGTGTTTGCCACAGCCCAGTTCACCTAGAGGAATGGACAGAAAACCCCAGTTCAGAGAGAAGACTGTTTTCTAATCCCCAGAGGCGTGAACAACTCAGCAGCCTCTCACCCTCGCCTTCTGAGATCCTGCACCCTACACGGATATATGAAAATACGGACAGCAGTGTCTTTCCTCTGGGGAAAGACAGGCAAAGCTCACTCTTCAGAAATACCGTGGCCCTTTGGATCTCCTAAGATAATCCACAGCCCAACACAGCAGAGAGAGGCCACGTTCTTTTATCGGCATAAACACAAAACTATTATTACGCCTCCTGCCAACTTCCATGTTTGCTAGCCTCTGGCTGGGGAATGCCAAAGTCCTCCAGCCAGGAGAGGAAGCCACAGGAATCCCAAGGCCCAGGTTGAGACCCAAAGCTTGGAGTCCTACCTCCTCCTCAACAAAACACAGCTGCTACATTCACAAAACATGCTGTGCTCAAACAAATCATGGCCCCGCTAAGACAAGGGCCAACTTCCCAGAACACCCTGGGCTACAAACCGCTTAACCCCATTTGATTCACGACAAATGTGCTGTGCCAACCCAGTTGCCGACCCTGAGAGAGCAGCAGAACTCTACATACAGAAAGGTGCCTTTGTCCCACCCAAAGGCAGAGCCCATTTTCCTCTCTGCCCAAGGTGACCCAGCATGAGAACAGTCCAGTTACAAGAGAAGTCCTTTTTATTAACTGCACCACGGGGCAACTCATAAAAGGATTTAGGGCTCCACATTAAAGAAACAAAGGAGGACCGGGACTTTATCAAAAAATTTAGGTCATCGCAAGAAAAGATCACTTGTATCTTCGTACGGACACAGCGGCCCTTCCTAGCCGGTAGATGGTGCTGTTACGCCCCGCCAGGTCTAACGCCGGCACAGGATTCCCCAGCTGATGAGCAAGTCGATGAACTGGCTTGTTGAAGAAAAAGTTCAATGGGTCTAGAGCTGAGAACAAAGGGATTTTGTTGGAGAACGGGGAGCTTGGCCGGAGCCCACGTACTAAAATAATTTCCAGAGATGTCACGAATCCAGTGGAATCCCCTAGGGCAGCAAAGCCTCCCAGCAGCTCTGGGAGCCATTCGTTATAAGGGACTGGGGCTTTCAAGCTCTGCCCTTGCTCAGCTCTCAAAGAGAACCCATGTTTCTACCTTCCAGAACAGAAACAGAAGCAAAAGAGAAAAAAACAAAGGGTTGGAGGAAGGAGAGGGTTCCCAGGCACCAGCCAAGGCACAGAGTCAGCTTTCCTGCACTCCAAGCCTTCTTTTGAGCCTAGGAATCTCTCCTCCTGCCTCCCTGGTGGCAGGCAAGGGCTCTGGCCATCTGATCAGCTCTGCAGCCCTTCTCCCAGATGTCCAGTTGGGTGGAGGACTGCCCTCGGGCGCTCATCTTTCCTTGGAAGCATCTGGCCTCCGGGAGCCAACAGGCAGGGGGCTCAGTCCTCCACAGGGAGTTGCAGCTCAGAATACACCATAACGTGGCCGTCCTCTTTCTCCCTACCTACAAGGAAGGATAGAATAGAATAATTAGCCTGTGGGTGGGCCCAAGACAAGGCACCGAGTAAGCAGCACTCCAGGTTCCAGATCAGCTTCCTCTGGCTTCTAGGGGGACAAATGGAACAGAAGCCAGGATGGGCAGTGGAGAACCGAGAGCCCACCCCGTATTCCTAAATACTATGCTAAACCCCAGATGCAGGTCTTTGCATCATCACTTGTGCGCTTTGAAGAGAATAACCACAGTCTTTTTTTCTTAAAGGAAAGATGGCCTCCCCAGAGTCTTGCTGTTCCGCTCCCTCCCCCTTCTCTAATCCCCATGGCTTGTGCAAAAGTCGCAACTCTCACAGGAGAGGCAGGCAAGGATGTTGCGCAGGGAGCCACCAGCTGTGAAAAAGGCCCACACCCCTGTGGAGACTGTGATCAGGAAGATGGGAATAAGGCTCGCTTCGTAGCATGGATTCAGAAACGTCTGCAGGGAGAAAGCGAGAGGGGAGTTCAGGACGCAGCTGAGTCTGCAAT